TTTTTTACTACCTGTCTCTGCCCTAGGTGTTCTGTCCCTTATCTTTCTCGTTTGGATCTCCCAGACGATGCTGGCTTATTTTTAAAGATCAAGTTCTATGGAGACCTTCTTTCAAACATTATTTGCACCTGGCCAGGGCTCTCATGAGCAAGTTTGAACTCCACTTTTCTTTTTAAAGACAACTTTTACTGTTTAACATGTCCCCATGGGCTCCATGGAGAACACGGCCCTAATCTTACCAGTTCCAGATAGACACTCCTATGCCTGTTTCCAAATATAACACTAACCTTACCTATTTCTCAGTCCTTAAGGAGTTTCACATATTTTCTTCTTTAGCCAAAAGTATTTTACTATCTGCTGGGGGCTCAGGACCCAACCTACATTTGCTTGTTTTCCCCAGATGATCCTACCTGTATTGTGGTTCCTCAATTATGTATTTTGCCATTTTTCAATGCACAAATTTATCATCCTGTTTTTACTTAAACTTTTAGTCCAGGGGAGTAGGTTTTCCTCACTCCACTGGCTCAATAACTGCTCTAAAGGGTATTTTCACGCCCTTACGTGTTAGAGTCACCCCTAAGGGTTCGCTCTACCTCCTGCAGCAAGAAAGTTAGCTGCAACAACTACAAGAATTCCCCATTCTTGTTGAGATTCCCTAACCTGTGTAACTGCCCCTCCTATAACCTTGCCTTCCCCGGCTTCCTCCCGGGGTCTTCAGAGGCCCCTATGAAAATGCCCTCCTCTTCCACCTGGTCCCTCTTCCTTATTCCTTTCAGGACATTCACCCTTCCAATGTCCTTCCTTTTTATAAAGGGTGCATTGGTTGCGTCCTAACCCTGACCTTTTGCCCCTAGCCGAACTACCTCCCCTTTCCTTGGGGGTCCACATCATAGCAGCTGCCATTAATTCAGCCTTTCGTTGCATCTTTTGGTCTTTCTTTCGCTCCTCCTCTTTTTCCCGATTCACAAAGACTTTCCTTGCCACTTCCACGAGCTCACTCATGGGCTTACCTGTGGGAGGCCACCCCAGCCCAAATGTTGGCCACTCTCCCTCACAGAACACCTGCAGTTTATGCCTACTCCATTCAAGGCCATAGTCCTGAGATTCATATGCTTCCTTAAAATGCTTTAACATAGACCCAGTGGGGTCAGGGCCTTACTCTCCCCTCCACCCATGAGCCACCCAGGTCACCAGACAAGACAATTGGGAAAAGGGGTTGGAGAGGAGGGTATGGGGTCCCTCCTTTTCCGAAAACACCAGGGATTTACACACAATCACGTCCGACCCAGGGAGCTGGATACACACAGTCTCCGATGGGAACTGCGGGTGCCACTCGCTTTCTACTGGCCCATGGTGCTGGACACTCACAGTCACCAATGGGAACCGCAGTAGTCATTCACGTCAGTCACTCCTGACAGATCCTCCCACCTTTACCTAAGAGAGGGTGATCAGTCCTCGTCCCTGTTTACAGGGAGGGATTATTTTCCCAAATTCAATACTTGCCTGCAGTCAACTTCCTTCTCCACTGGCCGGCCCGAAGATGTCCTGGTCTCCTCACCTTTCATCTATGGTTCTTGGGGGTGTCAACCGCCATCGCCAGAACAGGGTAGTCTTGGGAAGTCCCTCGGATTCAAAGGACCTATGGCACCTGGGATGTTCCCTTCAACTCACCCAGTCGCTGGCATCTGGGGTGGACCCTCCAGCGGGCCTCAGGGCCCCTTGTGTCTCGCCACGGTCGCCATAAATGTTGCAGCAGATCCTGCTTCCAAATCAGGACACAAGACCATGAAAGGTTGGAGAATACAGGTATATTTGTGCACAAGGTTCAGAGCATTAACATGGCAAATTCTGAACCCCTGGCTCTTCCTGAGGCGTCACTTTTATACATTTTGTGACCTCAGCTTAGCCCGGGGCATTTCTCTTATTAAACTATACCAAAAAAGGAGAAGTACATTTAATTAT